GTATTATTTATAAAGATAATTGAAATTTTGTCGAGAATTTTTTTAAAAAATTTTTTAACATAATTGAATTTTGGAGAAGAATTTTATTATTTTTAAAGATATAATTGAAATGACCAGAATTTTTTTAAATTTTTGAATATAATTGAATTTCTGCGAAAAATTTTATTACTTTTGAAAATAATTGAATGAATTGTTAAAATTCAATTTTTTTTAGTACTTTTACTAAAAATCCCTGACTTTCCCCTGACTTCCCTGACCAATTTTACTTTCTCTGAATTTTCTCTGAATTCCCTGATTTCCCTGACCTGTGGCAACCCTGATTCTTTTTCAAATTTTTCTGTTTCATTTTTTCTTTTCCTTTTTTCTTTTACCTTTTTTTTGTTTAATTTTATCTTTTTTCATTTTTTCTATTTTGTTTCTTCTTTTTCCCTTTTTCTTTTTCGTTTTCCTTTTTACCGCTTCATTTTCGTTTTCCTTTTTTTCTCTCTTTTCCTTTTTCCTTCATTTTCCGTTTTTTTATTCCCTCGAGTTTCCCCTTCTCCCGTCGATTCTCGAGAAAAGCCGAGCTTAACTTTAGTGCTACGCCAATACCAATTATCGTTTCTCGCCAGTGCTGGCGGCGAAAAAAAAATTATATATATATATACATATATCGAAAAGATTCGTCCTTTCACGGTCACGGATTTCGATGGATTCATCTATAATCTCCGAGAGGAGAGAGAAAAAGAGAAAAAATAAACTAGAACGAATATATTTGCCTCAAAAGTCACTGCGCGCACACGCGGTTACGCTCAAAGATGCATAGAATCTTTTTCCTTTCCACGACTATTTGAGAAATTCCATGAATCGAAAAATACCCAAAAGGTTAAAAATAGCCGAATGAAAAGGAAAATTCGATAATTTAGAAATGAAAGATAAAAAAAATTACAATTTGAAATTGGAAAAGGTGAATTTAAAATAGGAAAAAGAAAATTTAAGTTATTGGAAATTGAAAAAAAAAATTGTAATTACAATTTTGAAAATAATTTTTGGATTAATATTATAAAATTAAAATGAAAAATTATAATTTTAAAGAGAGAAAGGGAAAAATATTAAAATATCCATTAATTACAATTATAAGTTCAAAAATAATTTTCGAAAAAAAAATTGTATTCTTCGTTTTACTTGAAAAAAGAAAAGAATTTGAAATTGAAGGCAAAAAGAAAATGGTATAAATTCTGTTACAAACAAACTCGACATTAAAGTCATACTGTTTTGAGAAATTTATGAAACATTATATGCAAAAGTTTTATGCACTTTTCAACTCTCCAAATATATGTATATATAAGTGAAGAAAGTACATGGAATTGCACTATCTTGAAAATTTTCCACTTTCGTTCATCTTCAAATTATTCTAAAGTGTATATTAAAATAAATTTTTCCTTCTTTCAAAATAATTACACAGAATAAATAATAAATAATGAATAAATCATAAATTTTCCTAAAAAGTAATGAAAAAATAGAAAATAAATAATTAAAATTTGTTAAAAAGCACCAAAAAATAGTTAATAATGAAAAATAATATATTTAAATATTTATAAATGATAATGTAAATAGTAATAAATAAGGAGGAAGTAAATAAAAATTTTTAAATGCAGAAATGTAACGAAAAAATAGCTAATAAAAAAAAATAATATAAATAGTAAATTAGCTAATAAAAATAATAATAATAATATTAATAAAAATAATAATAATAGTAGTCGACAAAAAATATTGGAAAATATTCTGCAATTTCAATCCAATAATTAATAGCTTTTAGCAACAAAAGAAAAAAAATATTTTTTCCACATATTGAAACGCTGATGGACCGAGAGTAAATTTTAATTAATATTTTTAGATTTACTTTTTTCTATTTTAACAATAGAATTTTTTTCGCCAAACAAATGTACAAAAAATACAAAAAGAACAAAATAATTAAGCAAAAAATTGCCAGAAACAATTTGTCAATCATCTAGGTGTTCGTTGTAAATGAAAAAATTTCCAATTAATCGAGCTCAAGCGTCTTTAATTTCGATATTATTTTTACAAAAAATATCGCAAATTTTTAAAAAATAAATTTACAAATTTTAAAAAATAGCTTCGAATAATTGAAAATTCATAATAAAAATTGGATACAACGTAAATTGGGTATAAAATATTAATTATTATTAATAAAAATATTATAATTATTCTTTACTAAATTATTAATTTTATTAATTTTATTTTACAAGCAATAAATTTTTAACATAATATTAATATTTAATACAATTAAAGGGGCCCCCAATTAAAGATTAAGTCGCTCAAAATATTTATAATGTTTAAAATTTAAAAAAAAATGTGTAAAATAATTTAAATTAATTAATAATTAATATTAAAATTTTTTAAATATTTCTTAAAGTAGTTTTACTAATAAGAACCACCTTTAGTCTGACATTAATTTATAAATTATTGAAAATTTTAAAAAAAAATTTTAATTTAGTAAATATTTGCTATTTTTTCAAATTTATATTTTGTTTCATTAAATAAATTGAAAAACTGGCGTAGAAAAAATACAATTTTAATACCAAAATTCGTTGAAATTGAAATTTTTATTTTCAAAAAGTTAATAAACCATTTTTTAAAGATAAATTACAATTTTTGTTCTTCACATTCTTATGATTGTGATAATAAATGTAATAATTATTAATTACTATCGTAGATGTTACTGTTCCATTTATTATTTTGCAAATTAAAAAATTTTATAATTTTCAAATATAAACATTAATTTTGGAATAATTTTATATTCAAAATTTAAAAAATTCACCTTTTAACTACATAAATAAACTATTCTTGTTTATTATTTTCAAAAATGTTAATAACATTTTTCGCAAGAATTAAATTTAAAATTCAATTTAAAAAAATTTTTAATGATAAGAATTTAGTTATTTTCAAAATTTTTAATAAAACATTCTTTGGAAGAATTCAATTCTTTTTATAAACAATAAAATTCATCGCAGGAATTCAATTATTTTCAAAAAAAAATTTTAATAAAATTTCACGAAAAGTAACAATTATTTTAAAGAAATTTTAATAAAATTCTTGTTAAGAATTAAATTATTAAAAATTATTTTCAATAATTTCAATAAAATTCTTTGGAAGAATTTGATTCTTTTTATAAATAATAATATTTTTTGCGAAAATTCAATATTATTTTCAATACAATTTTAATTAAATTTTCTCGAATGAATTCAATTATTAAAAATTTTTTTTATAAAAATCAAATGACTAATTATTTAATTTCTAACAAATTTTAATTTTACTAAATAAATTTAAAAAACGTGTATACAAAAGTACGATTTTAATATAAAAATTCGAACGATAATTGTATTAAAGAAAAAATTAACAAATGTTAGTAAATAGCCCCGAATAGGTTATTAATTAAAAAATCCAACTTCGATAGTTTGGAAATTAAAAATAAAATATTTTTTCTTAAACTAAAAAAAAATCTAATGGAATTTATTTGTCGATTGCATAGCTGTAAAATAATTTGTCGATCTTTCATTTCCGATGTAATCTTTGTTTCGAGTAAAATTTCTTGTTGATAAACATATATAGTGTGGAAATGAGAATTCTTTTTTTTTGTTTTCTCCCAGTTAAACAAAAAAAAAAAAAAAAAAAAAAAAAAAACATCTGGCGTCATTTGCGTCAAGCTTTTGTCTCTCATTGTTCCATCACTGTAACGACTCATTGGTTCTCCAGTGACCTCGTTACTTTCTAATAGGACATATTCCTCTATAGTCCCTCTGTCTATATGCCTAGCGGCGAAATACTCAAATTGCTTATCGCAGTGTTCGCTAGGGGAAGGTGATTGAATTATGCCTCGACATATCTTTCCATCTCGATAACTTTGCAGACACATTTGCATTCGACTGCAATTTCGAAGAATGATTCTCTCTTTTGTTATTTCATCTCGGACAAATTATCGGTCTTTTTAAATCAAATTTTCTCATTTCTTTTTTTCCTTTTTTTTTTTTTTTTTTTGTTTTTCTTCTTCAATTTTTCATTTTCCAATTGGAGTATTTTTTTCTTTCTCTATTTTTTCATTGGTTGGTTCTTGACACGTTTTATAATTTAAATTAGTTGGCGATATTTTTTTTACGAGGTGGGTTAGAAGTTAAAATTTAATTTACGAAAACTGAAAATATTAATTTTTATACATTCGGTCCAGAATTTAAGAAAAAGAAAATCTTCGAAATAAAAATATATCGAAACATAACAAAAAATTTGTTTGTGCTTCGATATATTTTTATTTCGAATATTTCATTTAGTGTAGGTTCCATAATTTCCAATAGTTTTCTATTGTTTTGTTTCGATAAATTTAAATCATAAATAATAATAATAATAATAATAATAATTTGAATTATTCCTAATTATTATTAACTTCAAAAAAAAAAAACTTTTCCTTTCTGCTGATTTTTTACTTCAATTTTTCATTTTTAAATTTTCTGTTTAAAGATTTGTCTTCTCTATTCAAATTTTTTTGTATTTAAAAAAATTACCATTCGACCGTATTTTTATTTCGAATATTTAATACAAAAATTTTCTCCCAATTTATTTTAATATAATTCTCCTCTGGTTTAGAATTTTATATATTTCGATTTTTTAATTACACTTTTTACTATTCTCAGTAATTTATTTATCAAAAATATATGAGTTTTCATTTTAATATTTCATTTTTTCCAATATTTTAAATTTATGTAAAATTTTTTTTGTGCACTTCAAGTTTGAAAATTTTTTTTATTTCATTGGTATTTAAATTTTTTTGTAAATTATATTTTTTGTTCAAAATATCTTGATTAATTATTATCTAAATTTACAAAAGAAATTTTTAAAAAAAATTTTTTTTAACTTAAAAACAATTTTTTTTTACGAACGACGACAACAACAACAGATATAATCAATTTTTGCGATTGCTTTCAATTCTTGATATATTTTTGTTACAGTCTCGTCGCCAGGAAATTGTAAATTTCCTCAATGGTTAACGGGCCACGGGGGTGGGGGTCTAACATGGCACACTTTAGATCTTGGGAGATCGTACACTTTTCATCCCCACAATGCAACACTTCATGTGACAAGATCGAATGCAAGTTCATCGAGAATTGACGGTGTTTCACTTGATTTTCAAGATATTCCCGGCCAAGAGGAATATTATGTGAAAATTCTCTGCAATTCCATTAAATATCCAAATCCAACGGAAACGATGAATATGATCGTGGCTCATTACACTCACGGATGGTAAGATCTTTTTTGGATTCTTTCTTTTCTTTTGGTTCGTAAAAAGTAATTTTTATTTTCTTAATTTTTTATTTTCTATAATTTTTATTTTCTACAATTATTATTTCGTTAATTTTGATTTTCTTTAACGTTTTTTTTTAATTATTAATCTCCATTTATTTTCTATTGTCTTTAATTTTTTTTGTTCATCTCTTTTAATTTTCATCTCCTTTAATTTTTATCTCCCTTTTATTTTTTTACCTTCTTTATAATTTTATGTAATTTTCATTTTTTTATCTCTTTTATTATTTTTTTTTTACTTCATTTATAAATTTATGCAATTTTAATTTTTTTTATCTCCTTTATATTTTTATTCACTTTTAACTTTTTTATTCTCTATTTTCTTTAATTTCTTTATTTTTTTATCTTCTTTATTTTTTTTTCACCTCCCTTATTTTCTTAATCTCCCTTATTTTTTTTAACACTTTTAATTTTTTCATCTCTTTTATTTTCTATCTATTTTTAAGTTTGGTATTAATTTTTTTCATCTCTCATTCTTTTATGCGCTTTTAATTTTTTTATCTCCTTTAATCTTTTTTTTCATCTATTTTTAATTCTTTCACTCCTTTAACTTTTTTTTTATCCACTTTGAATTTTTTTGTTTTCTTTCATTTTTTTTCTTTGATTTAATTTTTTTTCTCTCTTTGAATTTTTTTGTTTTCTTTCAATTTTTTTTTCTTTGATTTAATTTTTTTTCTCTCATTTAATTTTTTTGTCTACTTTGAATTTTTTCGTTTTCTTTCATTTTTTTTTTCTTTGATTTAATTTTTTTCTCTCCTTTAATTTTTTTGTCTACTTTGAATTTTTTATCTTTTTACTTTTTTGAAATTTTTCTTTTTAATTATTTATTTTTAATTTCTGTTCGCTTTGGATTCTTTTTATCCATTTTGAAAGTTCTATTTCCTTTAATTTTTTCATCTACTTTTTATTTACTTTAATTTTCTTTTTCTATTTCGAATTTTCTATTTTCTTTGAATAGTTTATCTACTTTTAATTTCATTCTCATTTATTTATTTATTAATCATGATTTTTTTTAATAATTAATTTTTAACCTTTTTAATTTTTAACCACCTTTAATTTTTTTCGTATATTTACAATTTTTTTTAGTCTTTTTACTTTTCTATTTGTAATTTTTGTTGGCTTTGTATTTTTTCATCCAAATTGAATTTTCTATTTTCATTAATTTTTTTTAACTACTTTCAATTATTTTTTTTCTTTTAATTAAAAATTTTTTTTGTTGTTAATTCTTAATCTCTTAATTCATTTGTTTATTTTTAAAGATTTTCTTTTTAATCTAATTGTTTTATTTTTAAATTTTTTGTTCGTTTTGAATTTCTTCATCTAAAATAGAATTCATCTCCTGATAATTTTTTAATTTTTCTTTAATTTTTTCCACTTTTAATGTTTCATCTCCTAATGTATTATAAATCTACTTTTAATTTTTTTATCTCTTATTTTTATTATCTATTTGTGATTTTATCTTCTGGTAATTTTTTTAATTTCCTTTAATTTTTTTCTGCTTTTAATCTTTTATCTCCTAATTTTGTATCTTCCTTCTAATTTTTTATCTCTCATTTTTATTGTCTATTTTTAATTTTATTTTCTGCTAGTTTTTAAAATTTCTTTTAATTTTTTTCTGCTTTTAATCTTTCATCTCCTGATTTTTAATATTCATTTAATTTTTTATCTTTAAATTATTTTTATTTCTAAATTATTTTTAATTTTTATTTTTCTAATATATTTTTACTTTTTTTTTAATTTATAATTTTGGCTCCTTGCAAATTTTTTTTATAATTTTTTTTTCTGATTATAATCATTCATCTCTTAATTTTTAGCTAGTTTTAATTTTTACCACTTAATTTTTTTAGATCTACTTTATTTTTTTATTTCCTACTTTTTTGCATATATTCTTAATTCCTTATCTGCTAATTTTTTTTAACTACTTTTAATGTTTCATCTCCTAATTTGTTTTATCTATTCTTTAATGAGTCTCCTAATTTTTTTTTGTCTTATTTAATTTTTATCTCACAATTTTTTATCTTCTTTTAATTTTTTATCTCTAAATTTTTGTATCCATTTTTAATTTTTTATCTCCCAATGTTTTTATCTTCTTTTAATTCTTTTTATTTTATTTTATTGTTTAAAAAATTGTCTAAAAAATTGTTTAATAAAAAAATTAAAAATTGTGATAAAAGTTATTGCGATCCACTCTGAATAAATTCGGAAAATAAAATTATTTTTTTGTTCATGAAATATATTTTTTTTTACAGTCGGAGCGGATTTGTGTGTATGGCATTCTACAGGAGGGACGGTCACGTGGTGGAACTACAAACGGGAAACCCAGTTTCGAGGCCGGAAGATGCGTGCCTTCCTGCACACTATCAACCTCGTAGTACTCCCTTTCTCACTTTAGTCAGTAAGTATTCAGAAAACGATCCATTTCAATTTTTTTTCACATTTCAAAAAAAAAAAAAAAAACGAAACGAAACGAAACGATACTTCAATCAGCAAAATGCTACAAAATTTTCGATTGGAACTATTTCCTCTCTTTCTCACTCCAAAAAAAAAAGAATCAACCATCACGAATTTAACACAATGAATCAATCGTCAATTTAAATCTAAAATCTTTAAAATTAAAAACAAATTTTTTTTTCCAAATTTTTTTATTTACAAGCGAAAAAGAATTTTCGATAAAAATATCCGAATTTATATCTGTAGGTGGAGATTTGAATTCTTTAAGTGTCTTTTCGTTCCGCTCGATTGTGATTCAGGAATTCCGCGTGGTTGAAGCAGGAGAAAAAAAAATTTCGAAAGGAAAGTTTTCGTTATACGAGCAGTTGGAGATTTAAGGGTAAAAAGGGGAGTAGTTTGTGTGAGGGGGAGAGGGGGGGGGGGAGAGATTTCGGTTAGGAAGGGTGACAAGCAGAAAGAGCTGAGAGGGTGGTCAGGTCACGAAAGCGCAGAGGGTTTAAGGATTGAGTTGAAACAATTTATCAAAATTCAAGCAGCAGCAGCTTGCGAGCTTTTCAAATCATGTGGTACGAAATGGCACTGTTTTAGACATGCAAACAACTCAATCAATCTTTATATATTCACCTCGTGATTAATTAATATACAAGTTTCCGACAATTTTTATAATATTTACCTTTATTATTATTATTTATTCATTAATCAAAAAATCATTATTCAGAATTGGCACACTTTTGCTAATTTCAAATTCCCTGACTTTTCCAGGTTATAAAACGGAATTTTTCTTGGTTTTTAACAAAAATTTTTAAATTAAAAATTAAAACTTAAAATAAAAAATTTTTTTTTTAACAAAAATCTAACAAAAATTTTAATTTTGTTTTTCCCTAACTTTCCCTTGAATATTAGACAAAATTCTTACTTCTCCTTGACTCTAAAGAATATTTCCATTCAGTATAAAAATTATTACTCTGAAAAATGTTCTATTACTTCTTTTTTAAATAAATATTTAATGATTATTTTGTTTTCTATAAGAATTAAAATTTTTCAAAACATTCGAATTCAAACCTTTTTTTTACATTAAGAAAGAAAATTCATAGATTATTTAAGATTTTGAATAATTTGATATTTTTTGAATACTAAAGTATTGAAAAACTCTCAAATTATGTGAATATATAATTAATTTTTTTCCAAAGTGAAAAAAAGAAGAACCGAAGTAAAAAGAGAAGAAAAAATTTAAAAAAGAAGAGTCAAAAAAATAAAATTCAATAAAAAAAAATTTTTTTTCCAAAAGTAAATGCGAGATTTCACTTATATTAAAAAAAGAACATACAAGTTTGAATCGAAAGATGTTGAGCGACGATGGTTGTAAAGAATGTACCCTGTCAAAAGTTTCCGATGCTAGGAGTGGGGGAAGGGGGGTAGGGGGCAAAAAATGTAGACTCTACGTTCAAGTTCCTATATAGCAGTTTTCCTTATCGCAAAATGCGAAGTGAGCTTTCCAGGTAGAGTAAAAGAGAGTGAGAGAGAGAGAGAGAGAGAGAGAAAGATAGAGAGTGAGAGCGAAAACTCGAGACCCAACTTCCGGGAAAGAACTAAAAACGAACCAACGAATAGAGAAAGAGAGACCAGTGGATCAAACCGAATCCAATAACTCTCACAGGATTACAACTCCAACTCAGAGGAAACCGATCGTTCTCTTAGGATTGAAGGGAGTAGTAGAGAGAAGGAAGAAAAAAAAATAAAAGAAAAAAAAAAAGACGACGTGGATTTAAGTTTTGCGATACCAAAACTCTCCTCTTACTTTTTCAAACCACACTAAAGAATATCACGCATCTCCGATAAGGTCACCCTTACCCCCCCCCCCACCCCTCTCTGTCCCCTTTTTATTTCCCTCATTGACTTACACCAAATTGATCGCAAATCTTAACCCGATAAAACTTGAATTGCATTATCAGAAAAATGTAGAGAGAGATTTTTGTATTGATAAATAGAAAGGAGAGGGAATGAATAATAATAAAATGGTGGGAATAAATAATTTCAAAAAAGAAAGACGAAACAAAATTAGTTAAAAAAACTAAATAAATTATTTAAAAAAACTAATTAAAATTAGTTAAGAAAAACTGATTAAAATTAGTTAAAAAAAATAATTAAAATTAGTTAAAAAAAACTAATTAAAATTATTTAAAAAGAACTAATTAAAATTAGTTATAAAAAACTAATTAAAATTAGTTAATATTATCGTAATTCAATGACTAGTTCATCGAAAAATAAAAAAAAATACATGGAGTTTAAGGAAGAATCTGACAGACAGTCAAATCAAAAGTTAGTCCAATCTCATAATTTCGTAATTTAAAATAAAAACACAAATTAAATTTTAAATTCGTCTTGGTGGAAAGGCTAAGAATTTAATTTTGAATATTTAAAACAATTAAAAGTTACATTTGAATAAAAATTACAATTTCCTGTTAATAAGAAACATTTGTTATAAATTTTGTGATATGTTACTTAAATAATTTATTATTGACCAAAATTTATAATCTTTATTCAAATATAACTTTAAAATGTTCAAAATGTAGAAAATTAAATTAGTTACGCTTCTACCGAAAAGAAATTAAAAATTTAATTTAACTTTTTTAATTTAAAATACGAAATTATGACATTGGACTAACTTTTGTTCCGATTGTTTGTCGGATTCTTTCTTAAGTAGTAAATTTAATAATAATTAAGTCATTGAATTTAAAAAACAGTGTTACTGGTAATTTGGGTTTAAGTAGTAAAAGTCAATATTAGTCAGACAAACACAATTAATTTTTCCAGTCCTTCTAAATTTCTAAAGAAATTAATTTAATAATTATGTCATTGAATTTTAAAAACAGTGTTACTGGTAATTCGAGTTTAAGTAGTAGAAGACAATATTAGTCAGACGAAAATATTTTTTAAGTTTTCTAGTTCTTCTGGACTAGAAAAATCAGTAATTGAATAATTATTTCATTGAATACTAAAAAATTCTTTACTGGTAATTCGAGATTAAGTAGTAAAAGAAGATATTAGTCAGACAAAAATAATTTTTTTCCTACTCCTTCTAAAGAACTAAAATGTACAAAAAATTTTTTTTTTCTTATTATATTAAAATAAGATGCAGTAAATGTACTTAATAGTTTTTGAGAGAGAAATTCTTCGAAATTGTAGTGTATCAGTAGTAAACGACGGCTTTAGTCAGACATTCTGTAAATTCGCTTCCAGATATGAAAATAGCTATTCAGTCAGACGAAATTAATATTTATTTATTGATTTTTTGCATCAAGTAACAAACAGAAAAGTAGTTGCAGTAGAAAGAGACATTTTCTGTCAGACCAAACTGTCTGACTAAACTTGTATTTTACTACTGAAATTCGTATAATCGAAGACATGAAACTGCTGTCTGACTAAAATTGTATTTTACCACTAAAAATCTTTACTTACACAAAACTAATTCGATATGTCTGACTATTTCCATCTTATACTACTTAATTGTGAGTACCAAGAAGTGGAAAATGGTTTTAATCAGACAAATGAAAATAGTATTTTTTGTATTTTTCTAGTTCTTCTTAAAAAATAGTAATTCAATAATTATTTTAGGGAACATTAAAAAAAAATTTACTGATAATTTGAGTTGGCAGTGGTCGAAAAGTAGAGTAAATTCGAGTTAAGTAGTAAAAGACAATAGTGGTCAGACGAAATCATTTTTTAATTTTTCTGGTTCTACACAAAACATTAGAAGTAGAGACTAGTAATACGGAATATTTTATTATAAGTACATAGTCTCACAGAAGTGCAGAACAGTTTTGGTCAGACGGTAGAAATTTGACTAATATTTATAATTTTAGTTCATATACAAGTCGTCGAGTGGTAAAAAAGGCTTACTAGTGGCAAAGTAAGTTTAGGGCAGACGAAGACAGAATAAATATTTTTAACGCAGTTTCCAAAAGTAGTAGAACACTTTTTTGCTTATACGAAATTTTTTATATTTTGGAATTAAAAATTTTCTAGTAGCAAACTACCATTTCAGTCAGACAAGTACAAAAGTGGTGAAATACGATGCTATTTTGGTGACAGTAGTAGAATAAATGTTCAGTCAGACAGAATTGAATTAATTTTACTAGACTACTAAGTAGTATAACAAGTTTTTAGTCAGACAAGTGAAATTGGTCTTGTGTAATTGAAACATTTCAGTAGTAAAAACTGTTTTTATCAGACATGTAAACTTAAGTTAAATATATGAGTGCAAAGTAGTAAAAAAAGTTTTATGTCCGGCAATTGAAATTAGTATCGTGTAAATTAGGTATTTCAGTAGTAAAAACTATTTTTGTCAGACATATAGGTTTAAGTTAATTATATCAGAGTAGCAAGTAGTGTAACACGATTTTAGTCAGACATATCAAACTAGTGTTGTGTAATGAAGGGATTTCAGTAGTATAAACTGTTTTAGTCAGACTTGGAATTTTTGTAAAAATCACAAGTATTGAAAAGACCAGTTTTGAGTAGTAAAAGTAAATTTCAGTCAGACAGGTAGGTCAGGCGTATCGTTTGTAATTTTTTTAAGCCATCAAAATATATGAATGTCCCCAAATTCAAATTTAAAAATCACTCCAATTTTTTCAAAACTTTTAGAAAAAAAATTCAATTCCATTTCTTTTTTTAAAATTGAAAAATAAATGACAGTCGTAATTTTTCGTGTGAAAATTTTTTGGTCAAAAATATTGTTAAAAAGTGAATGTATGTTTGTGGGAGGAGAGGGAGGGGGGGGGGAATAAAAATGAAGGAAGGATGAAAGTGAAGGGCCCACAGGAAACTGTAATTTGAAGTCGTCAACTGAATACGAATGCCTTTGCGATCATAAAAGAGCTCCAAACAGCTTCCGTCGAATAAAAGAGAGCTAACGGAGAAAAATGAAAAGCATTTTTTTTT